ATCAAAGCCTGTTTGATTGCTGGAGGAAACCGGAAAAGCTTCACGATAATTGTTAAAAAGAAAACTTCATGTTTCATCAGGCAATCAAACGGTTTTTTTTTTTTTTTACCCCCGACCTTCGTTAACAATTGGTGACTCGTTAGATTTTCTAATCCTCGCTGTATTATTAATTTTTGATTCCTTACGTTTATTCGTTTTCAACTTCATTTTTTACCAGGTTTCTAAAAATATCTACTATTCCCGATTACTGGACTCCCAATATTACTGTATATATTTTAAAGCATTTATTTTGAACGGTTTTCTTTCTTTTTTTTAAATCAAACAATGTTATGTATTATAAATACATATATATATATTTTTTTTTTTTTGCCTTTTTGAACTGTTATTAACTATATTTTTATATAGTTGGCATTATCATGTAATAAGCTACTTACTCCGCAAAAATAAAAATTTCCAAAAATAAATTTTGTTTTAAATTTTATTTTAATATTGTAATAAATAAAAATAGTTGTCAATCTGTTTTTCTCAAAATCTATCATGAAGCACTTACGTAGCTTTTTTTTTTTTTTTTCAATTACGCGGCAGTATTATTCTAACTTTGAAGTGCATATAATTAACATACATGTGTTTAAATAATATAAAATTTTCGAAGTTGTCTATGCATATTAAAAGGCTTCTCCTGACTTACTGATTACTGACTGATTCATCATCGCAAAACCTAAACTACTGAAGCTGGAAAGATGAAATTAGAACAATGCGTACCTTTTATGACGTATGCAACCACTAAGGAAGGATTACGGAGATTGAATAGGGATTCAAAGATTGTTATCTAATTATGAGAATGAAGAGTTTATGTATCTGGAGGTATACTCCAGAATTATTTGTGCTAGCATCCTGAAGTTTGGACAGTGGGTAAAAGGGGCAATTTTCACCCACGATTTTGAAATTCGCTCAAAAATGTCAATTGGATTATTCAAAGGAGACGTTCCATAAATGGAATTTTTTCATTGGTTTAGAACTAGCCATTGTTTAAAATTAAACAGCAGATAATTATGTTTTATCAAGTATTTTAAAGACTGCATCAGTATCAATTCCCAGTTTACTTATAAAAAAATTGCTGGTTTTGAAAAATACATTTATTTAAAAAATTAGTGAGTTCAAACTAGTCGAAGATAAACTGTTGAAAAACAATTAAAACTTTTCAATTAGTTGAAACCGGAATAATGCAATTTAATTATAATTTTACTTATCATTTATTTGTTATTGTAAACCTGTAGAACTTTTCTAGGCTTTTAAAATATTTTTGGCACCCTGGCAAGTTACTGAACGAAACAATAGAGGCGACAATTATCTCCTAATTGGAGAAAACAACTGTGCATTCTCTTGTTGGATTTAGTCGCCAAATATCTTTTTTTAACGCCCTACAAAAGTTGGCTCGATTTACAAAACATTATTTATTTTTATCTATGTGTAATGCAACGTCGTATTTGGGTCTAAAGATTCTAAAATATTTTTTTTAAAAATTACTGACGTTACTTACGTGCAGTTGATTTTTTCATGTTAATAGTTTAGGGACACAGTTCTTAGTTTTAACTGTGCAAAAGTGTCCAAAACTAGCTTCAACGCGAATTTTTTGAAATTTCCGATTTTTCATCCCTATTTTTCTTGCAATGATTTTCATTGGCGAAAATCATTGTCTATATCAGTGATTTCCAAAGTGGTCTATATCGACCCTCCAGGGATCCATGTTAAATGAACAAAAATTGGGGATCCATGAAATAAAAATGGGGGTCAACGATAGTGGATCTCATATAAGCAGGTCGTGACTTTTAATTCTGACATTTCATGAATGGAATAATCAACATACACTGATAGTACCTATTTACTTACATTATACTACCTTATAATATAAAGACATATATCTATCTACGTTCTACATAATTTACAAAAGTAGCTATGAAGTAAAAATTTTATTACAATTTAAGTTACTAGGATTATTTTTTGTTGTATGAAACTGAAATATTATTAACTAGCATTTGTCTGCAGCTCCGCCCGCGTACGTTTTAATTTTCTCTGCGTATAAGGTTTTATTTTGTAACAAAAAAGTATTTTCCCTCGGTAAATTGTAGCCTAGCCTGTGTGAACTCTTTAGCTAGCTAGACCTCCAACTTTATCTGCTCACAAAGATCACGGAAATTTCTTAGTTTTTACGTTGCTTAGTTTGGAAGTTGCTTAGTTTTTACGTGAAAACGTAATAAACAGACCGACAATACACTATTACGGTTTTGTACACAAACTTACTTCCGCAATTATAATATTAGTAGCGGAGTACGGATCTTATAGTGCACTATTTTATTCCGTTTACATAATAATTAAATTAAATTAGTTTGAATTTAATTAATAAATTTATAGAATTAACATGTGTTTTTTTTTCTTACGTTTTTCACACTACATTTCACTACAGTTAAAAATTTAAATCTTTCACAGTGAGTAGAACTATACCAGCTGTCAAAAATACATTTGAAGTTGATGAATTTACAAAAAATCAATATCAGGTAAGCAGGGGGTCTACCCAATACCGAAAAACATGGCAAGGGGTCTACGAGACAGAAAAGTTCAGGAACCACTGGTCTATAACAATCATTCAGCTTTTTTTTTTTTTAATCAAGATCGTATTTTTTTTTAGATTTTGCATTTATATCCAGATCTCATTTCTTGTGATAATATTTTTTTTCCTCTTAAAAGCTATAAAAGTACAACAAATGTCCTCGTTCTGCCGCGGGGCGGATAATTACTATTATCATGTATCCTCCAATCTAAATTATGGTAATGTACGCATGCACCAGTATTGTCTTGGCTCATCAGTGATGATTAATTAAAAACCGTCACTATCAATCCATTAGTGTAATTTTAGTGCAACATTAACAACGATAAAAAAAAATCAAAGTTTAAGAAAATCAGCAAATGCACAACAATTTGATATTCTATATCATTATTTGCTTATTATTTTTATAACCTGTAGTGACATTTAGTTGCTGAATGAAAGAAATTAGTTCTATTATTATTCTAAAAGATATGATATCAGTTCGACGAAAAAAACTTATTAAACTCTCAAATATGTTGTCCTGATTGCTATTTTTCCGCCACCTTTTTGTTATCCATTAAGTACGATTTTGCTTAAAAACCATGTTTCATTACCTTTTTTTAATAATTCTTATCCCGAAAAATCGAGGTATACAAACTTGTACTGCATACAAACTTAAATTATAATAACATTAATTATTTATATATAGTTAAAGTATATTTTATTTTATATTATAACCGTCGTTCAACAGCCAACCCAATGTTTGGGGTAACGACTACAAATGTTCAACGCGGTAGGTAGCCTTGTAATTTTGAACCTCAGCCAGAAGACAAGGAAACTCCTGGATCAAGTATTGGGTGAAATTTGCCTTCGTGGAGAACTTTTTGATGGAACTAACCCGCATTTGCGTTACATGGAGAGTAAGACCACGAGAACCTCCCACGGTTATCCTGACGGCAAGGGGACTCTAACCCATGATCCGTCTTCCACTGAGGATATTTCACGTCAGCACTGTGGTCGGTGCAAGCCGGATGCGGAATTCTTATCGACCAGTCATCGCTGGGATTCGAACCCGGTTCACCTCATTGGAATTAGAACGCTCTATCTCCTGAGCCATCACGGTTCAGTTAAAGTATATCTTTTTAATAACCGTTGTTGAACAGCCGACCCAATTTTATGGGTTTACGACTACTAATATTCAACTCCGTAGCCTTGTAATTTTGAACCCAATCCAGAAGACAAGGGATGTCCTGGATCGAGTATTGGGAGAAGTTTGCCTTCGTAGAGGACTTTTTGATGGAGCTAACCCGCATTTGCTTTACATGGAGAGGAAGACCACGAGAACCTCCCACGGTTAGCCTTACGGCAAGGGGACTAACCCATGATCCGTCTCCCACTGAGGATATTTCGTGTCAGCACTGTGGTCGGTGCAAGCCGGATGCGGAATTCGTATCGACTGGGATTCGAACCTGGTTCGCCGCATTGGTAGGCGAATGCTCTATCGCCAGAGCCATCGCGGCTCAGTTAAAGTATATTGATTTTAATCATTTAATGATGATTATTGCTATTGCGTTTTATTTTTAAGTAACTGAAAAGATGTTAAATGGGTTTAAACTATCCGCCGAGGCCGTTGAATAATTTTAAATCAATTTTAATACGAATAAACATGTCAGTTTTAAAGCATGTATGACTATTTTTTTTTTCTACAATACATCCATTTCACGCATCTTGATTCAGTTAAGTACTCTATCTGAGTTTAAAATGAAATTAGTGTTTATTAAAAAAGTTCCTATGAGGCTGACACTACTGTATGAACTCCAAAACGAAGGAAATATCACAGGAACGGGTAAAAAGTTAAACGGTACAGTTCTCACAGATCATGTTCCTTTGGGACAAAAACAGGTGTTGTGAAGATCGATGTGGTGTAACGATATATATTGATAGAACCATTTAATGATTAAAAAATTTCCTGTCATCTAATGCTACAGAACAGCTCAACTAGAATGCGCGAGATATATAAGATTGTTCTGCTTTTGTTGTTGTATCTAATATGAATTACACACTCAAAACATGAATAATACAAAAACTGGAAAAACCTTGTTCGTCACTGGATAATTCTATTTTTAGTATAGTGATGGTCTCACCAGAAAACAAGTATTTTATGTATAAGTATTATATGAGAGCCTTCATTTGAATAGTAGCCCTACTCCACCTTTGTTCATTTTAAGACTGCCTTGTCTGATTTGTGGTGTTTGACAGTCGAAATAGGCTGTACTAATTTTAATGAATTTGTATGAATATAAAGGGGAACTAACTTTAATAAGTAAGAGTCGGGCCATTCTTCAAGTTTGACCTGTATTAAACATGTAATTTTTATGAGGTAAATGCATATGTAAAACCTTGTTTATTCCAACAGCCCAGCTGAATTCAAAACCATTTCTCTGGAGCGAGGATCTGCTGGCTTAGGCTTCAGCATCGTCGGAGGATATGGCAGCCCCCACGGGGATCTTCCGATTTACGTGAAAAAAGTGTTCGACAACGGTGCTGCGGCCAAGGATGGTCGTCTGAAGCGAGGTGATCAGATTCTAAGTGTCAACGACCGCAGCCTGGAAGGCCTATCCCACGAGGAAGCAGTCGAAATCCTGAAGAAAGTCACTGGAAGCGTCGTGCTTTCAGTACTATCCTAGTTGCAAATGTCGGCGGTGTGTTTGTACATTCCTATTAAACAAGTGAGAAATGAGGAGATATAACGAAAAGACTGGTGCTTTTTCTTGTTAGAAAATAAATATTCTATATACCTGCACAACCTCAAAATTAACTGCAACCGTGGCAGCTGTCTTCAACCCGAAGAATCTTCTGAACTGAGGTTCCGTTTTACATAAAATGTACATTCATTTAACAATCAGAGAGAAATGATTGAAACTTTTGAGATGGCTCAAATATTTTTTAATCTCAGGTACAATCACAGTGATTTGTGCTTGAGAACCGCAAAGACTTTTTCATGTTGTATCATGATATTGTGCCTTTTTTGTTCCCATCAGTTTGCATTGAGAAAAGAAGTTAAATCATAATCAAAGCTAGTGAAGCAAATTTGTTAAACAATATTCTTGCATCCATTAGAAGAATATTGCTGAAGAGTTGTTTCCACTTTTATTCTTTTTTCGGATGAAATTGTAAATCGTAAGCTTTATCCATAAACCGTTTCTTCGTTTTAAAACTTATTGCCTTAATTGTTGACACTTATGTAGATTATTAATTTGGTTCATTTATAGTTTAAATATTTATATGTGTTAGTTTCTAGGCTATATTATTCCTTTATTTGTCATAAAATGTTCTGTATGCCGGGGTGTCCGTACAACTAACTACTGTATTGATAAAGATCATGAAATATTCTGAGTTGACTAAACTTTTGAGTTCTAGAAAAGTTTCGTAAATCATTATTCAAAAACTGAATCCATTTTTCTCGAAGAGCCTTTATTTATAAATTAATGAATAGGGTTTTCCATAATTCCCTTCCTTAATATTTAAAAAAATTTTAAAAGAAAATAAAGTAAATTTTTATAAAAAATAAAGTAAAAAAATGCATTTGAAATCGCAAATTATTATTTAAATTAAAAAATAAAATTTTTATCTGATGAATCAGAAATATCAATCATCATAAAGGCATGATTAAATTCTCTAAAACTGGTTTGATTGTCAAATGAATCGGAAATATGCTTCTAATAATCGCTTTAAAAGTTCCTTTCAGCAGTAAAACTGGTTTTATTTTATTTATTTTCATCTTAGCGGGATTGATCTTAGTCATCAGCACACTTTCATTTACATTAACGTTCATTTTTTTCTAAATGTTCTTATTTAAAAAGAAATTGTAAATTGACAGTTTTTTTTTCTCCTGGCATACATTTTCTTATAAACAAAATTTTAAATTCAAACTTTAAATAAAAAAAATTTTCAACTCTATTAATTATTTAAATGTACTAATTTATTTATTAAATTCATTAAAAATATCTGATTGCTAAATCAAATATTTGGTTAAAATTTAAAAAAAAAAAAACGTTATGTCTGTTTGCAATTTTGTTTAATAAATGACCTTTAAAATTGTTGTAAGAGTTCAAAAACTTTAGCATCTGTTACTTATTAACTGTTATGAGTTATTAATATTCATGTGCAATTTCAGTTGTTAAAATTGCAAGCATTCCTGTCCTTTGACCAAATCACCTATTAATACTTTATTGATATTAAGTTAAGTTTTATGTGAAGTCATTGAATTTTATGATACCAAATAATAAATTTTTGAATGTATTCTAGTTATAAAAGTTTGTAGAAATGTAGACTGTCAAATTTTAGTCTATTTACAGTCTTAATTAGTGCCATTTGAGTGTATTATTTTTTTTATGTTTTATCATTTTTTGTGTGAGTTTAGTGTTTGAACATTTGTAAAATTTGTGTTTTCAGAATATATATATATATTTTTTTTTTTGAAACTTGTATTTTCAGAATATCATTGATTTGCTATTTGTTTCTTTAAAAATGTGTGTTTGTATCTAACCTTTAAAATCAGGGCTTCGTTCTTGTAATTTTTACATCAACAAAGTTAATTTCCAAATGTGGTAAGTTTAACTTAGTAAGTTTATTATTTTAAAAGCTATTGGTTACTGAAATTTAACGTTAACATTTTTATAGTTATAACTGGGAAGAAAATGTCTATTGCTACACAATTTATTGTTGTTTAATTAACTAATCATTATGAATATAAAACGTTTAATTATTTATTTTATAATGCAGCTAAAATGCTTTAAATTTGTTAACAGATTAAATAAAACAGCTTTTATCAAAATTAAGTTTTTTTATTATTGATCGTTTTAAATAACAAATATTTTATAATTTTTTTTACCCCTACATTTTATGATAGTTACTTTAAAATTACAAAAAGTTGAAAATTAACTGAGATAATACTTATTACAATACAAGGTTTTGTTTTCTTATCATATTATTGATCATTTAATTATTTACTTTATATAGCATTACAATTTATGATTATTACTTTAAATTCAAATAAAGTTGAAAGATAAAGAAATAACATTCATTAAAATTTAAAATTTTGTTTTGATATTTTATTTATTTAACTATCAACTTGGGTCTTTTATTCCTTCTTGAATTAAAAGCTCTAAACCTGACTAGTTATTGTACAACACGTTTCCAAAGTAGTGAAAATAATAGAGTCATTATTTTTAAATAAATAAGTTGTTAAATATAATAATTTTAGATATGGTTATGATAAATAATGCATTTAAATAATGACCTTTTCAAATATTTATATGCTAATGATGTGTATGCCTGTTGATATATCCGTTCTTTTCAAAATATCGTCGGTACACTTCAAAGTTTACTGTAAAAAGAAGGATATTGTTAAATTCCATTTGATAAAAAAAAGGTAGTCACTAATAATTTAACATTCACGCCTATTTTAAAACATTCTTTTGTTTAAGTTCTTCAAAATGAATTGAATGTCGATTATTGTGTAAATGATTCTAATGTTCATTTGGTTTAACTCTGTAAAGCCAAATAATTTAGGTCTTCCTGCTAATGAAGTACTTTTGTGGAAAAGTTTGAGCCTTTTAGAGTAGTATCTAACATAGTGAATTGCTGTTTTTTAAAACAGTTTATGTTTCTTCTTTTAATTATTTTTAATTGTAACTTTACTTGAAGTCCAAATTTTATTTGTTTTATAAATCAAATTTTAGTCGAAATGAAATCTAAAATCTCATAATTCAATATTATATAAAAAATTATATGACGTGTAAATATTTTTGAAAATCGTTTCTATTACAAATATTTTAGCTTTTAAAATTAAATTAAAATATTTGCTGTTTATTAATCCATTACTGCCCATAGTCTCTTTTTGAGAAAATTAAAAAATCTCAATTATTTATGGAATTTTTTTTTTTAAAAAAAAGCAGGTATTAGTTTTATTTAATCACCAAAAATATTAAAGAAAGTGGATAGAGATAAAAGTGTACAGTTTGCTACGTTCTGCTTATTGATAAATTTGATATTTAATATTTATTCTAAATTTGATATTTATTCTCACCAAGTAAGTGAAATGGTTTTAAATCTCATCAAAGGATCTCTGCTCTCTGGAAAAAATAATTAATCAATGTTTACTGCTGCATATTAAACTATCACATCTGAAATATTTTCTGGGGTGTCTGTTAATTTTGTTTCCAGAATGCACCGTTCTTTTTCTGTAAAAAAATGGTTATTTTTAAAACATTGGCTCATTATTTTTAAAACATTCCCCATGTGTTAATAAAACTTAACTAATTTAACAACTTAGAGATAAAAAATATTCTTTTGTTCTTTAAACAAAAAGCAGAGGATGCGTTTTTATCTCCTTGCGTTTCTCTTTCATTGTTTTTTTTTTTTTTCCTTTCAAATTGTTAGTTTTTTTTTTTTTTTTCTCCCATTCCCATTCCCAACTCCCATTCAACATTTAATTTTAAAAAAATTTTAAACTTTAGTTTAAGCGTAAATTTTGACAGAAACGAGAAGAAAAGTAATTAATCTATATCACTTTTCTTCTGGTTTTTTTTCTTAATTTATATAAAATATATTTTATGTATTTGGTAACTACAATTAGGAAAAATAAAATTTTTCTTATAATCTCGCATAATTTTGGATTTTGATAGCTTTCATCATTTTGCTAATCAAAGTTTTACGATATTTTCACCTTTTTTTTCAAATAAAACAAAAAGCTTTCAAGCAGAATTTTTTATAGTAATTTTCATTTGATTTCATGACATTTGCAACTATTATAATACAAATTATGTTTTAAAAATTACAACTTGGGCATTAATAGATTAAGTTTATGACATTGTTACGGTTAAATGCATTTTACTAAATATATAAATTATTAATTACGAAATATCTAAACTAAAGACAAATAGAGGTAAAATAAATATTTATTCTTGTACAGCTAATGAATTTTATTGCACTTTAAACGTTAATTAAGCTTAAATTTTTAAACAAAATGCACCAACTCTAGAAAATAAAGTTCTCTAAATGTGTAATGTGTTTAACTTCATAATGTAAATATATGTAGTTTCGTCGATTATATATTGTTCTGTAAGTAATAGTTTATTACAACTTTAACTGTTGTTCAATGGCTTTTTTTTACTGTTCCAAGCTATATTTAATTAAAAAGATAACTGAAACTGAGAAGAATTACGTGTTTTCCAAATCAAAATGTGTTTATTGCATAAGCTATAAATTCCTTGTGCTAGATTTGTTTAGAATACATATACTATAACATTTCTCAGTGCTGATTTGCTAATATTTTATTCATATTCTTATTCCTAATTATAAACAAAATTTAAGCGTAATTCACGTGGTTTTTGGAAGAAGTTAAAAATTTTTAGACGAAAAAAAAAATTTTGTATTAAAAATAGTTTATTTATCATCAAATTATATCTACATCAGATAAAATAATTACCTTTAATTTTAATTTTTAAGTATATCATTATCATTTATGATAGATATCAATTTCTCGTAAAAATTGAGATATTTTTAGACGAAGAAAAAAATATTGTATTAAAAATAGTTTATTTATCATCAAATTATATCTACATCAGATAAAATAATTACCTTTAATTTTAATTTTTAAGTATATCATTATCATTTATGATAGATATCAATTTCTCGAAAAAATTGAGATATTTTACGGATGCTGAATCAGATTTTAAAATTTATTTTTCGTAAAACAAAGCTTTGAACCTGAATCGATAATAGACTTGGAAAATTAATTTATGTGTTAGGAATTTTTTCAAATTCAAAAATTATTTTTTTAAGAAGTAAATAAAAATTTGAAATCAGAAGCGAACACTTTTTGTACAAAATTAATTGACAAAATCGTTTTCCATTATAACATTCTATTTCTTAATTGTTTCTTAAATTAATTAAATTATATATATTGCCATATAAGAATAGAAGTTAAGTAAAGTAATTAGTGAAGAAAATTGTTTACTAAATTAAGATTGCATGAGGGTTAATTAGGATAACATATCTTAAGTCTTGCGCACTACAGAAAAAATTATTAGCCAATTCAAAGTAAATTGCTCATTGAAAAATGTTTTCTTAGGTTTAATTGATACTTATAGTGACAATTATTTCAAATTAAATAGATAAATAAAGTCTTAAATTTTCTTCATTGTAAAACTAAAATGTGTTTTTAACGTTTCATTATTTTAAGAATTGCTTCTTATTAAAAATCGTCTTTAAAAAAATTTTTAAATTTAAAAAAGAATGCAATGAAATTATATTTGCACTTTACAAAAAAGATTACGTGTTAAATCTTAAAGAATAGTTAAAATTATCAAATTAAAGCCTGTGAATATAATTATGTTTTTTAATTTCTTTACATGGTTTAAATTTATGTAAACTTGTTAACATTTAAACGCAGAACTCTAGCATTCACTTCCATTGTATATGTATAAAATGAATATATATATTATATATTTTCACTCTATAGTCAATACGTAATAATGATACTACGCTTTTTAAATCAACTGCCATTTCTGTGTACGCAGATCAGATGTATACTATTAAAGACATATATTGTAGATATTATGAATTTTAATGCTCCAAAGTGATTCTTACTACATTAAAAAAGTAAATTTTTAATATTTGTTTTTGTGTTGTGCTCTTTCTTATTCACATAACACCAAATTTTCTAAAAAATTTTAAATTTCTGGACACATTTTTAGGTGCCTGCAAATATT